AGCTGGTTGCAATCTTTGGCATCACCCATGCAGGGTTGTTTCTGTGTAAATGCAAGATTCTAGAGTTAAGGGATTGGAAACTTCCACCAAGATTTCAAAGGAAGGCCTGGGAGGCTAGGCAAAGTGTGGCAGAGTTAATATCCCTGTGGGAAGTCCCTGAAAGGGTGCAGTATGAAGCTGTGAGAAGGAAGTCAAAGCTACAGTGGAGACCCAGGAGATTAAGGGATGCCAGGAATGTGGAGTGTCTGCCAAGGAAAGCTGCTAACTGTAGGCAGAGCCAGAGGAAAAGAGAGGCCATATAGGCCACAACAACAAGGCCATAGGGGTGGGGCTCTGCCCAAGACCTTTGGAGTTAACAATTCACCATCATCTGCCCAGATGTTGGATATGAACCTACAGGAAATGTTTGCCCACCTAGGTTAAGGTCTTATTTGGGTTCTGTTCCTTCTTTCTATGCCTCTATTCCTCCTGTTTAGAATGGGGATATTTAATCTGTACCATCATATATTGGATGTACGTAACTTGCTTTTGATATTGTCATAGGGGCTCACAGTCAAAAGTTGGCCTTGAGTCTCACTGAAAACTTTGGACTTGGACTTTGGAGTAATTCTGAAACTATTAAGCCTATAGGGACTCTGGAGATGGATTGAATGCATTTTGCATTGTGACATAAACATGAGCTGTTATGGCTTCAATATAAGGTGTCTCAAACACTTCAATTTAACACAGAAATATTTAGAAGTGAAATAATTTGATTAAGAGAGCTATAATTTAACCAATCCATCCTAGTTTGGATGGGCTAACTGGGGTGTAAATGTAGGCAGGTGGGGTGTGGCTGGAGGAGGTAGGTCACCAGTGGTGTGATTAGGAAGGGTTTATCTTCCCTACAGCCCCTTCCATTTTCTTTCTGCTTCAAGCCACCATGAAAGAAGCGGCTTCTCCTTCCATGTCCTTCGTCCTGGTGCTCTGCTTCATCTCCTATCCAAAGTAATGACATCAATTGAATATGGACTGAACCTCTGAAATGGTCAACCCCTAAACCTTTTTCTGCTCTAAGTTGATTTTGTTGGGTATTTAGGTCACAATTATGAAAACCTGACTAGCACAGAACTCATGTGGTTTTGAATATATATATACTTCAACAGAAACAGCATTACTCACAGATCTATGTTTATATATGATTTTTGTTGGAAATATAAACATATGAGCTAGGGCGTAGCTCACTAGTAAAGCTGGTGCTTAGCATGTGCAAAACCATTGGTTTGGATTCCCAGCACACACATACACATATATATCACACATATGCATTTCCTTGTTCTGTCTACTAAGGATATAGAAATAATGCCACTCTGGTAGCAGGGACCACACTAAGAAACCAGATATTAGCTTCTAACCAAAGTACCTGTAGGAAGACACAAATTGGTCTTTATATACAACCAGAGATATGAAAAATTGTGCTGTATATGTTTAATAAGAATTGTAATGCATTATGTTGTCATTTATGTTTTTAAAAATCAATAAAAAATAAAATAAAATAAATAACTATAACAGATGAAACCAAGACCTCTGGAATAAACAGCTCTTTCAGGAAAAATACATGATAAACCTGAATATTATAGCGATCAAGAAGTAAAAAATGCTAGAAGAAGATAAAGGGAATATTAAAAAAACAAAAACCCGAAAGCCACATTGAAGTGGATTCCACTGGCCAAATCTGAAATAATTTGATTATTAAAACAGTGAAGAACAGATTAACCCATTGTGCAAGCAGAAAATGAATAAGGAAGGGGAGAAATTTCTTCCTTCCACACAATGTCAACTATTGCATGTTGGGTAACTGTCACAAGAGCAGGCATTATTGGTGTATGCTAAAAGTGGTGGGAAGAGATTTGGTGATGAACAGAACATAGACATAATAGCCAAATATCTTCCCTAACAAAACAGTAATCAATTACAATGGAGATGAATAGTAATTTCCCAGCAGAGAAGCCCAGCAGACCTCAAGATGACAGAGATCCATACCACCTGAGGTATATGCATATTCTTGTTCCAAGAACAGCAGAATTTCATTGTTGAAATCAGCTCATGGAAGACAGGGATAGTCCCAGCCAAGGGCCACTCCATAGAATGGACTAAGAATTGCAAGGACATGACAGGGAATGACTGGGAACACTTTTAGATTAGGAAAACCAGAAATAAGCCTGTTTCTGCAAGGATCTTGAGGCACAAAGGAAACTGAGATGGCTCTTCTCACCACCTCACCATGAGCATCCTGGCCCAGGCCCTATCTTGCCTCCATAGCTCCTTCCCAATGTCCTTCACTCACTCCTGTCCAACGCACAACCTTCCCCAGTCTTTGTTCTGGCACTCTCCAGATGCTCTCATGTTCCCTAGTTACAGGA